GTGTGAAATGAGCTCATTGTGGTTTTGATTTGTGTCTAGACCCTCTTTTAAAGGACTCATTTAATTAGGTCAGCTCTACCCAAGATAATTCCCCTTTGTATTATCTTAAAGATCACTGGTTAGGGATCTTAATTACTTCTGCAAAATGTCTTCCTCTCTGCCATACAACCCAACCTCATTACAGGAATGGTATCTCATATGTTTACATGTTCTACCCACAATCGATGGGAGGGGAGTATACAGAATGTATATACCAGGGAATATATCTTGGTTGTCATCTTAGAGTTCTGTTTACCACAGTATGACTTTTTTGGCCTTAAGCTTTATTTTGTCATTTATTAAAACTGATGCTTTAATTTTCTTTTTGCTACACATTTGCCTAACTATTTTTCTATGCTTTTATTTTTGTCTTTTCTGTTCCTTTTTGTCTTAAGTGTATCTTTTGTAGACATATGCTATGGGTATTTTTTAAAAAATGTAATCTGTGAATTTCAACATTTTATTTAATGAAGTACTTTTATTACTATTATACTACATGTCTTTTCTGCCATTGTCAATACTTCTCATTTATTGAATGTTCTCATTTTGCCCTATTTTTTTTATTTTTTTTAATGTTTTATTTATTTCTAGGAGACAGAGAGAGTGACAGCATGAGCAGGGGAGGGTCAGAAAGAGAGAGAGAGTCACAGACTCTGAAACATGCTCCAGGCTCTGAGCTGGCAGTCAGCACAGAGCCCGACGCGGGGCTCTAACCCACGAACCGCGAGATCATGACCTAAGCGAAAGTCGGACGCTTAGCCGACTAAGCCACCCAGGCGCCCCTCATTTTGCCCTCTTAATATGCTTTTCAATGGGTAAATTGAAGTGTCTTTGGTTCCATTTGGTTTTTGTTCCTGTGATTATTGCTCACTTAACTTCAAAGCTGTTTTCATGCTTATTTACTCCTGTGGCTTCCAGTTCCTACCAAGCTGGTGGACTCCTTAGACTATTTGCTCTTTCCCAGGATCAGTGCTAGAAAGACTATAGAAATGAGAGAAATTGAGATTCCTATAAACTATTAAAGCATAAGAAAACAAAAACCATGTGAGACTCCTGGACTGACTAGAAGCTACAGGTTTATTTTTGTTCTATGGTAATCATTATTTACCTTTTCACCATAGAAATAGGTAGCAACCTCCAGGGCTGCATGTTCCAGGGCCATAGGATAAGAACAAAACAAGATTCCTTCTAGAAAATAGAGCTGGTGAAAACCAGTGAGGTCAAGGGTCTGCTTCCAGACAGCTATATAGCTCACCCCAAATCTGTAGTGTTATAAAGGGATTGAGACTGGTGGGGATGTTGGCTTGAGGTCAATGTTTTATGCATGTAGGATTTTGCAAATACAGTTGAGAACCTTGAAATGGGGAGATTATCCTGGATTATACCAGTAGATCATTGTAACCACAAAGGTCCTTGTAATGGGGGAGACAGGAAGCTCAGAATCATACAGACAGAGATGTGAAAATGGAAGCAGCAGAGGAGGTTGACAGTGAGAGGCGGAGAGAAAGAGAGGTACAGAGAGAGACACAGAGAGAGAGAAGTTGACAGAGAGTTTGATGATTCTTCATGGAGGAGGGGACGGTGAACCAAGGGATTTAGGCAGCCTTTGAAAGCTTGAAAAGACAAGGAAATGCACTTCCCTATAAGTCTCCAGAAAGAATGCAGCCCTACTTGTACTTTATTTCAGCCAGTGACAGTTGTTCTGGACTTCTGAGCTCCAGAACTGTAGAACAATAAATCTGTGTTGTTTGTTTTGAGATGCTCGATTTGTGGTAATTTGTTATAGCAGCAACAGGAAACCAAAACAGGTGGATTGTATTTTAAGGTGTCTGCCTCCTCTCAAGGTTGCTTCATCACAATTTATGGGTGAATCCTTCACTGCTTGGTGGAGTGGCAACAAAGCAGGTGATAGATGAGGACTTTAGGGAATCTGGACCTTCATGCTCTGGTTTGCATCACCTTTCTTTGCCTTAACTTCACCAAATTTAGAGTCTTAATCCAGGTCACCATTCCAGACAGAGAAGCTGACACATTTCAAGGGAATGTGGACTTGCTGGCCCAAATAACTAAATACCTGAGGAGTACAATTATTAGCTTAGCAAAATGAAATCACTGTTTTTATAGATCAATATCAGCCAAATATTAGCAATTCCTTGTGGTTCAACTAAATAAGAGTGATTAAGCTATTGGCTGTGGACCATATCTGGTCCACTGCCTGTTTTTTCTTTAAGTTTTACTTGTTTTTGAAAAAGAGACAGAGAGGGAGGAGAGAGAGAGAGACATGGAAAGGAGCAGAGAGAGGGAGACAGAGAATCCCAAGTAGGCTCCACACTGTCACTGTCTGATGTTGGGCTCAAACTCACAAACCGTGAGATCATGACATGAGCTGAAAGCAAGAGTTGGATGCCCAACTGACTGAGCCACCTAGACACCATCCACTGCATGTTTTTATAAAGTTTTATTGGAATAGAAATACTTATCTATTGAACAGAGAGGCATGTTGCCTCTGGTGGCTATCATGCTACAATGGCTCAGTTGAGAAATTCTTAGAGACTGCATAAAATATTTTCTATCTGCCTCTTTAGAGAAAAAGTTTTGTGGTCTCTGCTCTATACCATTTGAAGCAGAATTGTCAGACAAGATTGCTGAAAATTTTAAAACAAGTAAGATAAATTATTAAAAAGGTAATGAAAGGTTTTTGTAACCTGAAAAAAAATAGCCAAACATTTATTTAAAAAATAGAACCACATTGAATTACTAGATCTAAAAAACCCAAGGAGTGGATAAGTATAGCAGAGAAAAAGATAGGATATTAAGAAGGACACATATAAGAGAGGAATGAATCATGTGGTGGACAAGCTAGCTGAGAAATGCTCTCAGAAGGCAGCAGGAAAGGATAACAAGATAAGAAAGAGAAAAATGAACTACTAAAAATGACAACAGTTGCAACAGTGGGAACATAGGAATCCCAAAAGGAGACAAAAATAAAAGGGTAGAAACATTTGAAGAAAGAATGGAGATACATTGTCCAGAATTAAATGGAAGACAAAGTACCTCAGGTATAAAGGTTCTATATCAATCAGCTGCTGCTGCAGCCTCAAATCTCAGTAGCCTATAGCAAAGCATTTACTACTCCTCCCTGACAAGTATGTAGAATCACAAGAACAGCTTGACTATGTTCAGAGAAGCCCAGAATTAAAATTCTCTGGGTAATATCCACATTGTGATGGTGTGTGCATGTGTGTGTGTGTGTGTGTGTGTGTGTGTGTGTACTTGTAAAGACCAAAGGGTTATGAGAGTGTTAGAGGTATGAGATTTTCTTTTACAAAATCAACAACTGTAACCATATATTTCTCCAAAACCTACCCTAGAAATACTGCTTTAATTGGGTAATTGGGTGGATTTTAGTGGGTATTATTCAGCTGTTTGCAAAGAAATGCCTTCATATTTTTTAATAAAACATTTTATCTATGAGGAATTGGATATATAGTGTTTTGCATCCTCGTTCGTGTGTGCACTGATACACAAGAAGCATAAATGCAGTACACAGGTTCTCAAACATGACTGTGCACGGAAATCCCAGGAACATTTTTAAAAAATTTTAAATAGTTTATTGTCAAATTGGTTTCCATATAAGATCCAGTGCTCATCCCCACAAGTGCCCTCCTCCATGCCCATCACCCCCTCCCACTCCCCCCACCCCATCTGCCCTCAGTTTGTTCTCAGCATTCAGGAGTCTCTCATGGTTTGCCTCTCTCCCTCTTCCCCACTATTTTCCCCCTTCTTCTCCCCCATGGTCCTTCATTAAGTTCCTCCTAATCCTCCTAAACGTGCAAACATATGGTATTTGTCCTTCTCTGCCTGACTTATTTTGCTCAGCATAACACCCTCTAGTTTGATCCATGTTGCTACACATGGCCAGATTTCATTCTTTCTCATTACCATGTAGTATTCCATTGGTAGATAAACCACATCTTCTTGATTCATTCATCAATTGATGGACACTTAGGCTCTTTCCATGTTTTGGCTATTGTTGAGAGTGCTGCTATGAATATTGGGGTCCATGTGCCCCTATGCATCAGCACTCCTGTATCCCTTGGGTATATTCCCAGCAGTGCTATTGCTGGAAATCCCAGGAACTTTAAAAAGTGATGACTTCCTCATTACTAGGCCCTCTCCCAAGATTGATTTTAATGGTGGGAGTGGCCTAGATACTCCTTAAAACACCCTAAGTGCCTTTAACATGTAGCAAAATTTGAAAATCATTAATATGTTATTAGCACAGGATTAACAGTTTGGCAGTATATAATAAATTTTAATTTGAATAAAACTTTTGCATCAATTTTCCATCTAGTCTTTTATTATTACAGAAACAGCTGTATAATTTCATAAAGATATTGGAAAAGTATTGTCCATGACAGTACTGTCTGTAACAGCTGTAATGAGAAACAAACCAAACATCCATCAACAGGCAGTCAGTTTAAATACAATATGGTGTATTCACACTGCAATGTTTCACAGATTTATGCCTGTCTATGATTTCCTATACATTGCCACTTCTTATGGTCAGGAGCCCATCAGTCTTCTGGCCCTGTTACAAATGCCCACCTCTCTGACCCTGCAGAAATTTTCTGGACATTGGCTTGGGATTTTCACAGAGAAGAGAATCAGGGTGTGCATGTATCCCTCCCACTAAGGAACAGTCTTGGGCATCAGGTGGGCTAGGTGACTCTCACCCTGGCAATACAGCAGAAGAAAGTGCTATTGGCCCAAACAGAGGGAGTCCAGAGGCCAAACATTTAGGAAGCTGGGTTCACTGCACAGGTGGGCAGAAATTCTGGGGACTCCCACAGCTTGCCTGCTATGTGTGAGTTGCCTGCTCCGAAGGACAGTGGCAATGTCACAGGTTCTAGATTACATCACAAAGCATGACATCCCTGCAGGGGCATGGACAGGGCAGAGATCAGGAGTGAGGGAGCCCCCTGACCAGGGCCTAGGCACAAACTGAGCCCTTGAGACCCAGGAGAACCACAGGGGGCAGCTGCTGGGTGTGGCCAGCTGGAGAGCACCCAGAAAGCTGGAGCCAGGAAACCTTGGAACAGCAACACTTTTCATAGTTACATATTACAGGTCTGAGGTGCAAAAACAGGAGTGAAGGGTGAGGCGCACAGGGTAGTTGCTGGCACACCTTGATCTAAGTGTTCTCCCTGAACTGCAGACCACACCTGGGGTATGGAGGGCAGGGACTCTTTAACTGGATTCTTGTAGGTTGATTTCCTTGGGGGCAGAGGTACCCCTAAAGGGTGAACATAATGGCTCTTTCTTGAATGCAGCAGGTCTGATGCTTTTGTAAGATCTTTGAACCTTTGGTGGCAGCAGACATCGCACCCCACCTGTGGCTCCAGCCCTGAGAGGACGAGGAGGCTTACCTGTGTCCCTGGACAGAGGGACCATGACCAGATCCTGGGGGTTCTGCTTGGTCCTGCTCACCGTTTTGGTGGCCCTGGTGGCCAGCACAGACCCAGGCAAGAATAAGGGCAAAGTGTTGAGGGAATTAAAAGTGATTAATGCCTCAAATGCCAATGTGAAGCAGTGTCTGTGGTTTGCCATGCAAGAATACAACAAAGAGAGTGAGGATAAGTACCTCTTCCAGGTGATCAAGACAGTACAAGTCCAGCTGCAGGTAAAGGCGTTCTCTCCCAATATGCATATTTGCATATGGTGGCACAGACTGCAGTCATACTGAACGAGTTGGCTTGCAAGAAAAACAATGATACATGAAAGTCCTAATTATGTGAGTTCTCAAGTAAATCTCACTTGCATGTCACTATAATATCACTGAACTTTCTATATATGCTTGGACTGTTGTTATAAGTACTTTATGTGTATTAAGTCATTTAGACTCAAAACTGTAAATCAAATTTTCATGATTTGTATTTGCTAGTGTTGGGAGAAAAACTGAGTGCCATGAATATTTTGCAATAATGCTGCTGTGGGCAACATTTCAATCTATCCACATAACGAGGGTTGTGAGGTTGAAAAGAGACATTGCTTACATGGATTCCATTGAGGGTGAGTTTCTAACATGTGGCGTTGCCTGCCATGGTTGAGAAAAAGCCCCCAGAGATGGAATTCAGCTGACTGTACCATCCTCAGTCTGTGGGTTGGTGGTGTGGCTTGTAATTCCACCATGAAACTTTCGGGAATGAACTGTAAAAATACTCACCAGAGGGGTCATTCTTGGCTGAGTTTAGTTCAGTTTTTATATTCTCCATATGCCATGTTTATTTGCAGAAGCTGAGGCAGTTTACCTGTTGGTACTTCTGACCCTGTCTCTTTGGGACCATGTGAGCCATCAGCCTGTATTTTCAGTGCACAATGCTGATAGCACTCTGTTTATTGACTGGGTACACTGTACAATCCACCAGGGCACTCCTGCAGCCTTTTGAAATAGAGGAATGGATTGTGACTCTTGTAGCTTCCCCAACAACTGAAAAATTATAGTTCTTTGGTATCCATGTAGCACATGCGTTCAGCAAGTTTCTTCAAAGCCACTTCTATGCTAGCAGCTGTAGATGGGGAGGTGAGATGGACAGAAATCACATCCTGAGGGAGTCAGCATTCAAGTCAGAAAGAAACAGCACTGAATCTGGAATGAAAGCTGGGGAATCTGACTAGTGGCATGATACCCAGGGGTCTGGGGTCAGGAGAAGCCTTCCTCAAATAGGCTATCCTGAGGAGCTTGCAAATGTCTTATTGCATCTGCTGCACCATCACCAATTTAATGCGGATCTATGTGTTGGACCCAGGTCTCAATAGGTGTTAAAATCTCTTAAATGATCCCAATACACAGTCAAGGCTGAAAACCACCTCCCTAGGGTGTGATGTTGGAACTAAACCTGAAGGCACATGAGGAGGAAATCAGGTGAAGGATGCTGGTAGGAAGTGTTTCCATTTGGGTGTCCCACAGCAGATCCAGAAGCCAGATAAACATTAGGTGAGGGTGTTCCTGAGATCCATGTGATTATATTTTTTAAAGTTTATTTATTTTGAGAGAGAGTGTGTGTGTACATGAACTTGCAAGAGTAGGGGAGGCGCAGAGAGAGGGAGGGAGAGAGAATCCCAAGCAGGCTCTGCCCTTATAGCATGGAGCCCAGTGGCAGGCTTGAACTCATGAACCCATGAGATCATGACCTGAGCTGAAACCAAGAGTTGGATGCTTAACTGACTGAGCCATCCAGGTGCCTCCAGATTGGGGTTTTAAAACTGTCATTCTGGCTAAGTTATTTTTAGAAAGGATGGTGAGGTTTCCATGAAGGTGTCCATATAACCAATGGCTCCCAGCTTCCTGCAGTTCATGTTTGCTATATTCTTGGAATCAGCATATAGCAGCCCTCTGTCACTCTGGCTGTTGGAGCAGAGAGGGCATAAACGTGAAAGTGGTGGAATATGATGGTTAGGGACGCAAGTTTAGTGCTGGGTGCCTCGGTTGGAGCCCTAGGTCTTGCCTGATAATTGGATGGTCACTTAGTTCCTCTGTCTAGTTTCCTTACCTGAAAACAATGGTAGTGACAGCCTCACTGTAGAAAGGTGGTGTGTGGGCTAAGTTATTGTGTGCCAAGCTCCAAGAACAGTGTTATACAATGAGCAAGGACTCAGTGAGAGTTAGCAAGTGTTAAGACTGATAAGAAGTCCTGGGGACATTAGGTTTGCTTCCATGGTATTTTTGAGGTTCCCTGAGGACCAGCTTCATTCTCAAACCCAAGGGGCAGCTCTTGATGTTATTTAACCAGCTTTTCCCATGGCAGGCTAAAGTCACCTTGTTAATTTTTTGGAATTTAGCTAAAATTAATGCCACTTTATTAGAGTCTGCAGATGGCAATGAAGAAAGACACTCTTTTTTTCTCCTACTATAATCTGTTAAAACCAGCTTAAAGCTGATTTAAATGGGCATCGTGAGTAGCCTTAACACACTCAGTCATTAATGAGTTCAGTAACTACTGATGCTTTGCTATAGACCTACTGTTTCTCTGATTACTAAACAGTCGACAGAGAACAATAAGAGAAACTCCAGCCAGCATGGCCCCTTTAAGAGCTGCTTCTTAAGGTAGGGAGGGGGAAGCTCTCAAAAGCAGGAGATGTCACCAAAAAACAGACTCTTAGGGGAGGTGTGGGAAAGGAATCAGGGAGGGGCATCTAGTGTGGCCACAGGGCCTGTCCTCCCATCTGGTCAATGTGAACCTTTAACATTTCAGGCTTAGGAGAGCCAATGGTTCTGGTGACTCATCCTTCTCCCCCACTTAATGCAGAATGCCCTGGACTTTGGGACAGAAAATGGAATTAGAAGATCTTGCCTTCAAGGAGGCCCCACAGTGAAAAGGAGACCTTTCCCTGAGTATACAGCTCCAAGTAGTGGTTTCCAAAGTCTAACTGGTATCAGCATGCAGAGGAACCCAGGCAGTGGTTCTCATAGGCCTTCCTCTAAAGATATGTTTGGAGAGAGAAGGGGTAGGGAGTAGGAGATAGGGAGAGAGAATGAAGGGGAGAGCATTTTTTAAAGTGCTTTTGGCTAAAACTTTAACAAAGTAAAATAAAATTTTTTTGAATAAAATTGCACAATTGCTAATTGACAGGTCACAGATCATTTGGAATACTTTATTGACGTTGAAATTGCCCGCAGCAATTGCAGAAAGGTTTCGAACAGTACTGAAAACTGTATCATTCAAGAGAACACCAAATTGGAAAAGGTAGGTGACTAACATTCTGTGATGGTCTTGGCTGCTCTGAGCCCTAGACAGAAGAACTTGGGGTGCCCATACCCACTCTCTGAGATCTGGATCACTCCCCAAGTTTTGCTCTGAGTTGGGCAACTTTGTGACTTTTAGAGCGAAGGCGATAGAGTGATGTAATATGGTGGATCCCTCTGAGTCTCTTTCCACTCCTCATCTTAGCGACAGAATGCTGTTGGAGTCACTCTTATTGCAAGAGCTTCATCACCTCTGGCCTCCTGGTGCAGAAAACTTGCCAACACATGTTCACTGAAAGTCTGTGTTCTTGGACCCAGATGAACAATTTAGCCATTGGTGGCCCCATAGTTAGTTGCTCATCCTTGTGAAGGCACAAAAGGAAACCCATTCATTCACTTAGATACTCATCAACGTTTACTTTGCACCGGTTGCTATTTTGGGTGCTGGAGATTAAGCAGTGACTAGGCCAGACAGTGTTCCCACCCTTCCAGACTTACAGTTGATTCTTGCCATGCTCAGCCATGATTTCCAGGAAGATCATGGAAGAGCCCAAAGATCCCCACCAAAGGGCTGGCCTGGCTCAGAAGCTTTTAACATCAAGTTTGTATTTCTGGTCTCAGATGTGGGGAAAGTCCCAGATTCATGCAAGAGATTGGTGAAGGCCCTAGACTTTCTGAAGGTTTGACCAAGGGGTGTGTCTTTGTCTTTGTTTATACCAATGGTTCTTTATGTGAGGAGGCACCAGAATCACCTGGAAGCCTCAGTAAAGCCAGATGGCTGGGTCCTACTTACAGAGTTTTAGATTCAGGTAGGCATTCAGTAGGTCTGGAGTGGGATCTCAACATTTTCATTCTTAACAAGTTTCTGGCTGCTGCTGCCACTGCTGGCTGTGGGACCATACTTGGAGAACCATTATTTCATGTAGCCATGGCACAGGAAAGTGCAAGGGCTCATTAACAGTGCACTTCTACGTTTCACTAAAGCCGACATTGTCTGCTGAAACTGAACCAATCCATTCATTTCCAGTTAATAGTAGACACTTCTCAGGACAAACATTTAAACAGGGAGCATGTCTTCATGCCATCTGGCTTTTATGCTACATTTGTTTATCTTTTACTGTTAGTAGAAGTATGGTTGATTCAAATTTATATACTCTACAGAGTCCATTTGGATTATAGAAGAGTTGTTGCTTTTTACCTGTTTATAGAAAATCTTAGAGAGAATTAAGAATTGTCCTCAAGGAGCTCATTTATTGTATATAAGACTTCCATGGACGATCCCAAATTTTAAGGTGCACGTTTTTAAGACCATATTTGTCGATAATGAAAACTATTTTTTTTTCTTTACAAGTCTTCGGAATAACACTGGAAAGGAATAATGCTGGATAGTTTTTCTTATTCCTAGCTTTGATTACAGTGCTTTCGGTATTTATAACCTATTTTAAATATTATATCAAGTGCTGATTTCTGGAATTCCTCCAATTTCTTTTGCCAAAAGTTATTTTTTAAATTAAGAATGTTTCTTCTATCAATTATTCTTTCAGTGTCTATCAAGTGTGTTGAATAATTGTTCTTCTCTGATGCATTAGTGTAATAAGATATAGATTCACTAATATTGAGTAATTCTTACATGTCTAGAATATGGCCTTTATTGAAGGGGATTTTACAGCTTGGATTGCCAGTGGTTTGTTCTCCTCCATGTTGACTGACTGTAGGTAGTTCAAAGTGGCGACAATTACATAGGTAACTAATATATAAGCTTGTTCAGGGAATCTCTATCTTCATTGCATTTTCTGGACAATTGCACATGAATATGGCATGGTACACTCCTTATTCCTATGACCCAGATAGCTTTGTTGAGCTTGGTGTCAATATGCACATTTATCTCTTTCATGGCAAAGTTGTAGCTCTCCCTGACTTCCCTGGGGGCACACTTCTTGAAGGTCACTTCCTGGGTGTGCTGTGAACATGGATAGTATTCTCAGGCCACCTCACTGATGCCAGAACAGTCCTTTCTTCTTCCTGCCTTTCTTTGTGGAGACAATTTTGTTGGGCTCAGTTTCAAAAGGAAGAATGTGATGGATTGTGTTTGCCCTTGTCTTTTAGAACATGGTGGGATTCAATGGTGGGAGGAGGAGTTAAGATTGTGGAGAAGTAGGGACACTGGGATTTTTCATGTTCCTCGAACACAGCTGTATTAAGGTCAGATCACTTGGAACACCCAGGAAATTGATCTGCAGTGTGGCGGAAGGATCTCCACAGTTGAAGGGAGATGGCAGGATCAAGGTGTGTGTGTATGTGAGTTGGAGGAGATAAAATGGCAAAGCTATGGAGGAGAGGGAACCCTTTCTATGGATACACAAAAGGGAGAGAAAGAGACAGAGATTGTAAAAGTGCGGCTTGACTTAGCACAAGAGGAAAACCTCTTTGGACCATAGACCTGGAAGCAAGAAGTACCGAGTGTACTAGTTCTTTTTTGCAAACAGTCTTTAGAACTGTTTCAAAACTCCAAGGTTTTTAAATTGTGTGACTTTCTCCATAGCAGATCCATGGCATGTGCTCCTGGGGAGGAGGAAGCTAGCCCCAGAATGCATAGTGTGGAGTAGCAATCTCCAGAGTGCACAGGAGAGAACAGTCCTTTTCCTGGAGAGCTTAGGGAAGAGGGTTTATTGCCTCCCTAAAGACAAAAACCCTGCAGATGCCAGCCGAAGACCTTTCATCAGCAGGGTGGAGAGGCTGCTCCGGAAGAGGGGAGCAGATCTGTGCTGTGCTGGGTCCTTTAAGACTTCAGGTTTTGAATCCTAGCTGAATGCCAAGGAGAAGCTGCAGGATAATTGTGGCATAGGGCAAGCTCACAGCCATCTCTGTTCTGTGAAGGCTTCCTGAACAGCGGTGTTGAGACATTTGGTCTAGGAAGGAAAGATTGGGCCGATGCCATTTCCCTCCCAACACCAACAAGGTGGGACTTCACAGAGCAGCACAGTGGCCCCCGTGGAGGCAGGACACACTTACACCAAACTCTGCTTCTGTGCCTGGCAACTGCTGATTTACTGGGGCAAGACTGACTGATCCAACGCAGCTGGCCTCTCCTCCAACCAGCACAACTACCAGCCCCAGGCACCAACAAGCAACTCTTTCTTTTCTCTTTTCCTTTGCTTCCTCTTCTTTTTTTCTTTTGGAATCAAGTTCATAGTTTCTGATTTCTTTTTTGTAATTTCTTATTATCTATCTCTATCTGTCTGTCTATCTATCATCTATCTATCTATCTATCTATCTATCTATCTATCTATCTATCATCTATCTAATATAACCAGGCTTTTTTAATTCTATTCTTTTTCCATCTTTTCTATTTTCTTCCATTTTTTTTCTTCCTTTCTCTTTCCTTGAAATCAGCCTTATAGCTTTTTTATTCTCTGTTTGGTTTTCTTTTCTCCTCTTTCCTTTCTCTTTTTATGGGATCAGGCTTTCCCCCTTTATCCAGGGTTACTTCAGCAAATCAAAGCCTACCTAAAGTCCAAACACTCCACCATTGCAAGCAAGGAGGAATTCTGCAGAGGACTGACCAATGGGATAGAACAGCCAAAACCCAATAGCAGAGTGCACACAGTATATACCAGAAACACTTCCTAGAGTGTCAGGCCCTGGACAGAGTATGACCCATTTTTAATACAGTAGTACTCTCAGGTGCAGGACACATAACAAACTTTTAAAACATGCTAAAGACAGAAACTTAGCCAAAATGGCAAGACAGAGGAATTCTCCCCAAAATAAAGGAAATCACAGCCAAAGAATTGCTCACATATCTGAAGAATTTAGAACAGTAGTCATAAAACTAATAGCTTGGCTTGCAAAAAGCATGGAAGTCACCAGAGAAACCCTTGCTACAGAGATCAGAGACCTAAGAACTAGTCAGTATGAATTTAAAAACGCTGTAATTGAGATGCAAAATAAACTAGATAAAGTGACAATGAGGATTGCTGTGGAGAGAAAAGATGAAATAGAAAAAAAATTACATGGAAAATAATGAAACTAAAAAAAGAGAGAAAGGAAATTACTAGATCATGAGGAGAGAATTAGAGAACCAAATGACTCCATGAAGCAAAACAATATCCATATCACAGGAGTCCCATAAGAAGAAGAGGGAGAGAAAGAAACAAAAGGTTTATTTGAACAAATTGTAGCTGAGAATTTTCCTAATCTGGGGAAGAAAACAGGCACCTAAGCCCAAGAGACATAAGGAACTCACTTCAAAATCAATACAGTATGGTGAAATTCAACATGCCATCTTTTTTATTTAGGAATTTTGATTAGATATACTCTTAAACCTCCCTAATGTTAAAAAATTAGGGGTGCCTGACTGGCTTAATTGGTGGAGTGTGTGACTCTTGATATTGGGTTGTGGATTTAAGTCCCTTATTGGATGTAGAGGTTACTTAAAAAAAAATAAAAAGAATCACTTGGAGCATGTGGTGACACCACACACACACACACACACACACACACACACACACACGTTCCATGGCCTCATCCCAAACTTACTGAGTCAGAATTTTCAGGTACAGACACCCCACACATTTCATATCACTGGGAAAGTCTGGAAAACATTGCATCAGGGACAGTAATTGTTTAATATGCAAATGCCTTTAATTTGCTAGTATTTTATTTTTAGGATTTTTGTTTTAGGTAAGTTTAAATTTTTTGACATTTATTTATTTTTGAGAGAGACAGAGTGTGAGTGGGGGAGGGGCAGAGAGAGAGGAAGACGCAGAATCTGAAGCTGGCTCCAGGCTCTGACACGGGGCTTGAACCCATGAACCGACACCCAACTGACTGAGCCTCCCAGGCACCCCTCCATTATATATATATTAATTAAACAATTTTTAATTTAAATTCAAGTTAGTTAACATACTAAGTGTAGTCTTGGCTTCAGGAGCAGAACCCAGTGATTCTTCTCTTACATATGCCACCCAGTGCTCATCCTGAAAGGTACCCTCCTTAAGGCCCATCACCCATTTAACCCATCTTCCCACCAACACCCCTCCAGCAACCCTCAGTTTGTTTTCTGTTTTTAATAGTTATATTTTAGTTTCAGGATTTTTATGGTCTGGTATAATTAGAATGAGGGCTTCCCATCTTATTTGTGTGTGTTCTGATCAATTTGTGGACCACGGGAGCTTTGGGTTCCCAAGATTTGGTGTAATTTGTCTATAAAATTATCTTGTTTTGGCATTTTTTTGTGTGGGTTTCTGAGAAAAAATGCCTCTTTAGTCATCCTTTGCATGTGTCCAATACTCAGCAGATACAAAGCTTCCTTTAGTTTGACTCCTAATAGCTCCTTGGGAGTACTTCAATCTTCCCAGTTATTTAGGACACTCTTTGCTGGAATTTTCCAGGAATGCTATCTATGTATCATCTGTCTATCTATCTATCTATCTATCTATCTATCTATCTATCTATCTATCATCTTCTATCTATCTATCTATCAATCATCTATCTATCATTAGTCTATCTACGTATCTATCCATCCATCCATTGATCTATCACATACACATCAAATATTCATTTGTTATTTCAATAGTATTTTGAAATGGAGAGAAGAACTCTTTGGAATAAAAGACGGTAGGTTCTATAACCCTTTAAACTGCTCTTGTTATTAGAAAAAAGTCATTATTTAATTAGGACAATATACATTAGTTTATATCTGACATAAATTTGCTTTATTTACATTATGGAAAATATTAAAGGGAATTAAAAATAAAATTAATTTTATATCTGATCTCCCAGCGAAACATGATGATTGTTAGTATTTGCTGTCTATCCATGGTGGTTTGGGAACAGAGACCCTTCCAGGTATCTGCTCTTGGTTAGAAACATCTAGCATAGTCCTGGGAGCATTTCTTGATGGCTGATGACTTATATTCTAATATATTCCTAAGGTAACACCTAGCAACAGGACATTTTTTTTTCTTTTTGGAATTACTGATTTTGTTGTGGTTGTGGTCTTTTTCAGAAAATAATGTGTAGTTTTTTGGTCGGAGCACTCCCTTGGAATGGTGAATTCACAGTGATGAAGAAGCAGTGCGTGGATGCTTAGGGGTTTCTGGATCTTACCCCCCACACACACACACACCATCTCTACCTTGCTCTGTGAAGAGATAAATGGCATGCACTGGTATTACCAACATAGTTTCCTCATACATGCCTCTCTGCTTGTTTTGTTTCCTAGTTTCTTATTAGGCGATAAAAAAGATTAGTATGTCCCATTTCTTTCTTTCTCTCTCTCTTTCATTTTTTCTTTCTTTCATCCTTTTGTTTTTTCTTTCTTTCTTTCTTTCTTTCTTTCTTTCTTTCTTTCTTTCTTTCTTTCTTTCTTTCTTTCTTTCTTCTTCTTCTCTTCTCTTCTCTTCTCTCTCTCTCTTTTTTTTTTTACCTCAAAGGAGGCCCCTTGACTTGGGCCATCTTGGTGGACCACCACCAAGAATAAGTTCGTCCTTGGCTTCAAAGGATGGAGTGAAGTATGATTCCATTCCCACTGCAAATCTGAGGAGGGATCCCTTTTTGATTAGGTAACAACCCCTTCCAGAGTTCTGAAGCCAGTGGGTATTAATTCAATAGATTTCTTCCTCCTGAAGGTCCTGAGCCCACAGTTCACCTGGGCTGGGAGAGCCCCTTGGGAAGAGCAGCCTTTCCCTATGGGGTCTCTGTGAAATAGGGAATGTGTGTTTCTTATGTAAATATCAACAATGGTCATACAGAGAGAGGGTAACGGCAATAATGCCTTCAGAATAATCTGTGTGTGTGTGTGTGTGTGTGTGTGTGTGTAGATAGAGATTGAGAAAGAGGTAGGGAAAGAGGGAGAGAGAGATATGATTGGGAATGTGGAGAAGGAAATAGGCAAACTGGTATGATAGCAAGAGATTAAATTCTCTTGAAGAAAATAATCATTAAAAATAAGTCTGTCTAGGGGTTCCTGGGTAGCCTCAGTTGGTTAAGTATCTAACTTTTGATTTCAGCTCATGTCATGATCTCACAATTGTGACATTGAACCCCACATCAGGCTCTGTGCTGGGCATGGAACCTGCTTAGGATTCTCTCTCACTTTCTCTCTCTCCTTCTGCTCCTCTTTCCTGCTTGTGCTCTCTTTCTCAAAATAAATAAACTTTTAAAAGTTCTGTCTGTTTTTTGTTCTCAGCACTGATGGGGATGGGGGAGAGGAAGGGAGGTGATGGGCATGGAGAAGGGCACTTGTGGGGATGAGCACTGGGTGTTATATGGAAACCAACTTGGCAATAAACTATTAAAAAAATAAAAAAGTCTATTTAATGTGGAATTATTTAATAGATACTGAGTTTTGCAAGATGAAAGAATTCTGGAGATTAGTTGCAGAATAATGTTAATATACTTAATACTACTGAATTGCACACTTAAAAATGGTTAAGATGATTGGGGCTCCTGGGTAGCTCAGTTGGTTAAGCATGTGACTCTTGATTTTGGCTCAGTCCATGGTCTCAAAGTTCATGAGACTGAGAGCCCCACATAGGGCTCTGCATGGATAGCATTGAGCCTGTTTCGGATTCTCTCTTTCTCTCTGCCCCTCCCCTGCTTGTGCTCTCTCTCTAAATAAATAAACTTTTAAAAATGGCTAAGATAGTAGATTTTATATGTATTTACCATGATTAAAATTTTAAAAAAGTAGATGTGTCTGTTTTAACTGTGGTGTTGGGTATGATTCCAGAGGCCAATTAAATTTCAGATGTGCACATGTACAGTCCAGGTTTCACCTCACAGGGCCTGACAGGTGGCAGGAATTTCAGTATTTATGCCCCAGAGTGAATGAGGCCATGAAACTCAAAGACCATTCTTTTTGTCTCTAGTTCTTGTGTTTTACGTAATTGATGTTTCACATGTGGGACAACTTACCAGTTGGAATGGAGGGGACAAGTGACATTCAATTTGCAAAGCCCTTGCTCTTCCTCTGGCTGTCTCTGCTCTCCCCTCATCAGCCCTCATGATTCTCTTCCAGGCACACACACCTTATGCCCATTTTTCTCCGAGGAAGCTGCTGCCCTGCTTCCTCTTCCCCCTCTCAGGCTCCTCATCAGAATTTGGATTTGAAACATATTTTTGCATTACTTGGACCTAATATACTTATCCTGATTAAAAAGGCTTTTTTTCTTTAGGCCAGGAGGGCTCCATCAAAAATCCCCCCTCCCCTACTCCTCTACGCTGGACACACTGATGGATCCCCCCATATGGGAACAGCAAACCCAGCACGCAGCCTTGGAGGGGCTTGCAGGATGGGTCAGCTTACAGCTTCATGGGTCTCTGCTATTTGTGGAAAAGTGTAAGTACATGTAAGTATCTTAGAAAAGACTGTTTTTGGAACAACATCATGGAATTGTCTTTTCTTATGGACAGGTGGGTAGGGAGTAAAGGGAATCAGATATCTGGAGCAGGCAGGACCAGAGACATGCTTTGTTTGCACATGTGCTTATGTGCAGGCTTAACTTTCCTCTGCTGGATTTCATGTTCTTATTGCTAAGATGTTACTGGAGTTCATTCTCTCTCTCTCTCAGACACACACATACACAAACACACAGACACGCACACATTCACTTCCCCTGTGGAGGAAGAGAGGAGTCCCCCAAGATAGGACCCAAAGTCTCCACTAGGTACTACTGAAACTCCACCAGTGGGGCCTGGACCCCAATCACTGTCTGTCTGGGTCTGGGACACAGGAGCACTGGGGCCATGGGAGGTCAAGGACATGAGGCTTGACCAGACAAGCCACATGGCATTGGATGCTGCCCAGGCTCAGCACTGATATTGAGGGAGGTTGTCCTGTGCCCATTCTTGCAGGGTGACCGGTCTAGGCCATGCTGTGTGTGAGAACAAAGAATGAATGCACTTAGTTCAATCCTGGGCTGAGCTTCTGAGGCCCTACAGGCTAGTGGGAAATGAAGTCAGAGGCTGGGTCCAGCCAGGACCAGAAGTGAGCGCTCTGGGGATACATGGATGGCAGTGGAAGGGAGCTCAGGGCCTTGGACCTAGGAAAGGGCCAAGTGGCCCATGTGGAGAGTGCAACCCGTCTTGGTCTCCATCTCAGAAGATGTGAGTGCTGTCCCAGGCGTATCATTTCCTATTTCAGTATCTCCACTTCTGAACCTACCCCTGGTCTGTTTACCATGAGAGCATCAGGACTGCATGGCTCCCAGGGCCTGCTGGAATGGAAGCAGTCATTTGCCATGTGATTCTTCTATGCAGTTGGTACATTTAGATCGAGTAGATGCAATTCTAGTGTTTCCAGAGGAGTCAGGGACAGTCGATTAAGACCCAGAGACAGATGGCAGCTGATGAAAGTGTGGGAAGTATGGAGAAGCCACCACCTCCATCCCCATGCTCCATGGTGGGGGCTTCGTGGGGATGGGCCAAGCTCTGGAAATGGACCCAAGGCTCAAAGAAGGGGCTGGCCCTCTTCCCTCGCCCTTCTTCACTTCTTGCTCTCCTCTGTCCTCTGTTGAGAAAAAAATTACCTGAAACTTAGAATAAGCCACAGAGAAGTCAGCACGTGCTTTCCATGTCATTTTGGACATTGTTCAATGGGTCTAACGAGGATTATTGAGTTATCCAGCGAATGTAACTCTGTGATGTTCTGTTCATTATTGAGTAAAAGCCAGACTCTAAAGTTACATGTTTACTTGTGAGTCTTTTTGTCCCCGAGAGGTGCAAATGATTACTGCCTAATAGAAAAGTTCACCCCAGTGGTTATGGTTTTATTGCTCTCTGGGAAATAAGCCAATTTTGTAATTAACCTCAGTAATTCCCCTTTGACATTCTATATTTGCCAGTGAGAGTATCAGGTTTGTAACTTCTGAAAATTATGTCTTGACACTTCCATATGACCCTCTCAAAGTTCTCCACATGCCAGACATTGGGTATATCCTATAACATTCAGGACCTGCTGCCTTCCCTCTTTGAGTTACATCCCTCACCAGGTTGACTCAGGGAGACTTTGAGATGGGCCTCCTCACACACCTGTCATTTGCTATGGAGGAGAGAAGAGGTCAATACCACAAGTGATAAATAAAAATATCAGCAAGTCAAAAACTGTCCTTGATGGATATAAATACTGGCCCCTTGATCAGTGGCTTCAAAGTTGTCAGGAACATCCATTAGTCATCTGGGAGTCTAGAGAAAGTGACACCAAGAATGCCATATTTGGCTCTTGGAGTTAAGTAAGGTCTCCCCTGCCCTTATTGCCATGCATTGCCAGCTGGGGACTTTTGGTTTATGAACTTATGATACCAGAAGGCAAGAAAATGAGCAACTTGCTCTTGGAGCAATAGATTTTCCTGTTTTCTAGTTCCAAACTCTTCAGAGTTTTTTGTTTCTAACACACATCCAGATTCCCCAGATAGAGAGACATTATGAGTGAGCAGCAGTGAGCACTGATTGCAAGTCCCATTAGCCTGACAAGCCAGATTTCTGCCCTGCTAACCAGATTCCTGGGTGTTTATCACTTGCACCAAGGCTGTAGCTGGACTACCTAGGTTCAGCTGGCCAAACCCCAAATATGACAGTCAAAGACTCAGGAACTAGGCCTTGTGCCAGAGGTAGGGTGACAAAAATCAAATCTCAGGACCCTCATAAAAAGTCATGTCTAATTATCAAATTAGTCACTGTCTTTGATTTTGAAAGAGAACCACACTAGTGTATCCCTGTAAGCTGCTGGAAAGCCAGCACTTGCTGCAGCATGTGTCCAGAAAACCACATGTCCAGAATAGAGATCTGACCAGAGCATGTACATGGAAAATCACCTCCATGCATGCCATTATCATTTTAAAAATATAATTAAAGAAAACAAAAGATGATGCAGGTATGTTCTAGTAAACTAATGTCATTGAGGTAGTTTTCATGAGGGAGAATTTAATGACCCAGAATCTGGCTGCTTCTGCAAAAATAACACATTGTTTTCTTAAAAAAGAAGGAAAAAAAGATTAATTAGCTTTTGTGGGGAAAAAAAAAAGGAGAAAATCAGTTTCCTGTGGCAAATGTCAAACTTGTAAAAAGGCTTGTTTTGTTGGGCAGATACTGATCTATGCACTGATAACAAGTCAGAATAAATACATAAAGTTTTAACAGTAAGTGTTAGCAGAATAGAAAAGTGGGTAGCAGTTACAAACCCATAAGCAGGAAATCCAGAGGAATGCCAATAATACACCCAAACCAAACCCAGGAGTTAAAGCATAATAAAGAGGAGCAACAAACTAAGAAAATCAAAATGTGATTGAAATTTGTAAACTGATAAAATGGAGACTTGAATTTATAAGAGTATGTTAAAAACAAGAAAACAGCATTCAAGAGTCTCTCATGGTTTGCCTCTCTCCCTTTCCCCCACCATTTCCACCCTTCTTCTCCCCCTTGGTCCTCTGTCAAGTTCCTCCTAATCCTCCTATACGTGCAAACATATGGTATTTGTCCTTCTCTGCCTGACTTATTTCGCTCAGCATAACACCCTCAAGGTCCATCCATGTTGCTACACATGGCCAGATTTCATTGTTTCTC